ACACTTATAAAGCGAAGGAACAAAAGGCTTGGCTGTGAGCCATTGAGAAAGCACCGACGTCGTTGCCAAACTGGACAAACGAGTTTCTGATACCGGCTGGATTTGATTATTCAAAATGGCAGACATATATTAATTTAAGGCCTAATATACTAAACATGTTCTGTAATGGCTTTGTAATTTATGCTATACATACAGTTACATATTAGAATACGCGTTCACCTTGTGTATCTTGAGTTACAGTAGCCAGATTAAGCCTTGATTGCATTGACGAAGTTCGTTTAAGGTTCTCTCTGCCATCTAATATTACATGTTGCAGCGAAAGGGTAGTGCTAATTCGTCGACAACGTATACCGTCTACGAATGCTTACGGGCGAAAATAACTTCCGATGCCTCGCTGCCTAAAGCATCACAATTTTCAATGTTATTCCAGCAGATATCATTGTCTCCGCAACATTTAGATTTGAGGTCAATGAAGTGGCGAGATCCCCGAGAGCTGGAAGCTATGGAAAGAGAAATACTGTAATAATTACTTGGTTTGGAGTAGGAAAGCCCCGAGTATCAACTCGCCATGTTCAAGGACGTTATTGATATCGCGATGACGATGACCTCTGAGTGTTCAAAGCCTTAAGAGGAAGATGCAAACGATTGCCGTGTAGTAAAGGGGAAGATGAAAAGGTATTGCATCGGGGAAGTTACGTAAACGAGATTGCTTCAGCATTAGGGAAAAACTTCCTACCGAAACGCTCGACAACTTAATCGCCGGATTGAAAAGAACCATGGCAAAGAGCAGCAATTTATGCGATTTGTTACGGTTTTTACACGATACTCTCATCTGCGTTCGACTAGTCTTGGGATAAAACACAAGCAAAGCACAAAGCAGCCAGTTAGAATGACAGACCCCACGTTAAACAAGTGTATCGACCTTCCAGCATCCGAGATGCAAATATAGGGATCTTAACAATGACGACGGCGACTCCGAGGACAACGCCTTGTAAACTGAATTTTTCGAGGATGCCTATGGCTCTAAAACCTCGCTCAGACTAAATATGTATTGTAATGACAGCGTTCAATTCTAAATTGAAATACGAAAAATTA